TTACCGAGCACTTGGATTTGTTCGGGCTTATTGCGACACTTACGTAGAGCACCGGTTATGTTGATGAAAATCTCTATCAGTTCATCCGCTGAGAACAGATTGGGATTATTTGTTTTGAGCTGTTGGTTGTCTCCAGAATCCAGTGAATTCGTTTGTCCATGAAGAGGCAGAAAGTCCTCCGTCCTGAAAGCTGGGGCCTTATCCTTCCTTCGTCCTGGTTGATTGTTGTTAGACTCCTGTTTTCGGATGCGCTTGAAATCCTCGCGTTTAGGGCACTGCTTGTCGGATCCTTGGTGAGCACCACCACAGTTGGCGCATTTGGAGGCCACAGCGTTGCTTAATGATGCAGTTTCGAGTGCCGTGGCAAAAGTTCAGACACCGTTGGCACTGAGTCACATCGCAATGGGCGCCATGATATGGCTCCCAGTGGACGATGATGGAATTGATGGAGCGGATGGCTTTCAGCGCGTTGAACCGTGGTGCCGACTCTGCCCAACTTGAATTCGGCTTTGACGCCCAGCGATGCCAGATCCGCGATGAACTCGTTAAGATGGGCATTTTTCACTACCAGTGGAGGTAGCTTCACTCTTGCCGCGCTCATGTCGACAGCATTTTCTTTTTCGGCAGCGTCACCGAAATCTCCGTTCGTCGCAGAGGCATCGTCGCGACCAATCGTGCCATCGGGCTGACCTCGACTTCCTCTTCTTGCTGCGTTTTTCCGTCACAGCTGGCTGGATATTCCCATCCATGGGGAGAACAGCAAACCTGTTGGATGTAGGTACACCCGAGCTTCCTTCACCGGGGTTCTTGTCCTTCACCGGGCTTCGCGAGCGATGCTTCCCCATTTCGGGGCACACACACACAAAAAACCGCGAAAGCACGAACTTTTCGAACAACTCGAGAGATCGAGCTAACACTGAACTGAACTGCTTCTGCTTGACGATCAAGCAGAGAATGGAAGCAAAGGCCTTGCATCCGAAAACTCTAAGTTTGTCCTTTAGCCAAAGCTCCGCAGTTGCGCGGGTTGGACTACTGTTGACTAAGTTAACTGCAGCAAACACTGCTTCACCCCACATGGATTTGAAACCATCATCACTCTTATAGTTCTTCTATTCTCCACGAGTGCCTGCCAACTTTGATTTGCCAATTGGCGTCTTGCAGTGAAACTTTTCCAAGCTTTCGCCTCCTACATTTCGAAGTGAGAACTACTAGAAGGAGGATAGTTTCCAAATTTCCCAAGTAAAACAGACGCTTTTTGGGGCAAATCGGTCCATAAAGAAAAACTAATAATTTCCCGTGGAAACTTTTGCTTGAATCGTGTAAGAAAACGTGTTTGCAAACTAACTGTTATTATTTCGGTATGGATCGGAGATGTTTTCATGGAAAATTATGCATAACAAGTTTGCACCCACAGGGAGAGGTTACCTCCTGCGCAGCTGCATTTTTCGGAAATTAGTGAATATGCGTGATTTCCACTAGGATGAAAGTGGAAATTAAGTGAATTTACTTAGGAAAGATTGTATCATGCTGGTGGTAATGGAGAATTGGTTGTATAGGACGCCAATATTCAATAAATGTTCATTTCGGCCTTTTCTTACCAAACAATTTTCGACGGAAAACGCAACGGAACTTGCTTTACTCAACACGCACCATACCATAAAATGGTGCTAGATGGTCTTCAAAGTGATAGCAAGATGACAAATCATCTTTATTTTGAGTAATTGAGCAATTTACTTCTGTTTACATCATATTTACGATGCAGCATTGTTGGAGCCGCGAAATGAAATGAATATAGGGGAATTTACGTATTCTCGTCAATCTAAGCAGCGTCTGCACTTCTACTAGCATTTTCTCAGCGTCACGCACATATATGATGTGTCTGTTTGTTTACATTCATCTGCTGCTTGCTTCTCTATCCATTCCAATCGACAGAATTTTTCAAAACGTTTTGAAAGCGTTTTTAGAACGCTCCAAACTTCTCAGGTGAGTGTGACTATTGTCGGCAGCCTCTTTTTCTTCGGCAACCTTCCCATTAGAACTGCGTGTTAACCAGCTGTTCTATTATCGGCAACTCGAAATCAACCCCATTTTGTAGTGCGTATGCTTTATTTGAAGAAAAATGTAGCATTACTGGATTGCTCGATCGTTCAAATATAATCAGATTGAAGCTGAAAGGCTAAACAATCGTTTGGACACATTCAGGGAAGTGCGTTGATGGGAAAACATAGTGAAATTAACGTTTAAATTTTGGTTGCCGAAAACAGTCAATGGGTGCCGAAGCCAACATTTACCCTATCTTATGAAAGTTCAACTGGAAAAGTCAAAGATGCACATCAGTCTGATCGTAAAAACGTTTTCTTCTTCAATTCGAATGTTATATTGGAAGAATTTTACACAGGCTTGATGAAAATTATGATTTAACGCTAATTTTCACGAATTTTATATGCAGTCTGTCAACATTATCATCATCATGCAGTGGCGACATCTGCGTTGAGCTTTTACGGAAATCTTCCATATTGGAAATACCATACAATAAATACAATAAGCGAATTCAATAGAAGCTTAGCAATTATTCCAGCCTCTGGCGGTAAATAGGGGAACCCTCAAAAGAGTGATGAGGGCGAGGGGGGTGACTCTATCTAAGATGCAGGAAATGTTTTGCTTTGATGTTATGAGAAGCAGTCGCGCTTAATAGATAGAAACACGATTGATTATTATTTTGAAGATTTCCTGCAAAAAGGTGGAGAGCAATGCGAGTAGATGGGCTTAGATGCAAGAGATGCAAAAATATTTTTCGTAGATTGACTCGCTAGTGTGAGATTTTTCTTTCAAGATTAGGATGTGTCGCACCTCTCGGATGAGGGTGGAAATTTTCACCGTCAAGCATAGAAAGAGGACACGATAGAAATTTGCAAGTTGTGCAATAAAATGTACATTATTTTGAGTTTTGAAAATCGTCATTATTGATATCGCTGTAACCGGATGACGGTTGTTTTGGAATCAGATGATGCTCTTCTCGAATACACGATAAATTGTGATACGAGAAGCGAATGGACCTCAGTTTAAATACGTAATGCTCCCTGCAGACAGGATGATTGTCATCCCAAATTGAAATGCATATGATGTTGGTTCGGGCCCCATAACGCAAATCATCCAAAACGATGATGTAAATAATTCTATCGAGCGTCATTTGCTGGCAAACGAGGTGGAAACATAGTCATCGCTATCAGAGGTGGTCCAAAAAGGTAAAGAGTGGAACCCGAAGATTGTCTATTTCGTGGTGGAGGAAGTTTCCTTTACCAACAAACGATTTTGGTATCCATGATGGAATGGCTGTTTATGGCTATTCAAAATGGAAATGTAAACAATCGTATTATAAATCTAATAAAGCATTTGCAAGTCTTCCTATTCTTAAATTGTTGTCCTCTGAGCGCTGTATGTTTTGTAGCCAATTTTCAAATAAATACCATCCTTTTTTGATGACGGTCATATATGAATGCTCATCAGCTGATGATGAATTCAACCATAAGGCAATCATCCGAAATTCGAAATCATATTTTCAAAGCGCTCGAGCAATGCAATAATCGTTCGAAGCATTGCGGATGTTTTCGTTCAGTGTGGTAAGAGTCTTTAGACGTCAAACTGGGGGATGATGGATTTAAATTATGGTGAGCCTAAAAAGCTGGATTTGGAGAAATCATAACAGCAGTGAGTTTAGTTTTCCAATGATTATGATTAATGAGTGATTATTAAATTATGTGAGGCAAGTGATCAAGATTAATGGTTAATGGTTAATTACTAACGCTCTGATCGATTCGTCAGAACATCAATGCGGAGAGAAGAAGGTCGCTCCTATGACAACAGTTACTTTCTGTATGATAATAATAGTCTACTTTCAGGCTTTTGGATTGCTCTGTAGCATCAAAACATTCTTTGTAATGCTGAATGTCACTAGGTCGTTGATGCACCACTCTGTTGGAGTCTGTCATAAAGTGCCCTTAATTCGACACTGGTTTCATAATCGAGCTAACAAATGTTGGAACCATTATTTACCATATTTATCTCCATGATCATAAATCTGCCCTTACATACACTTCGTGTAACTGCTAGCAAGGTTAGCACTAATGCGTATAATGATACGAATTTCTGTACGACTAGTTTAGTACTAGGAAGGAGCTCTGCGCTTCACAATTGTGTGGTGTTAAGTGAATATTTTGCTTGAAGATAGGATCAAGTGATCGATAAGCCTGAAAGTTCCGAGATCTCCCGACAGTTTGTGGCTATCTTGGAAGGTGCTGATTAACAATCATTAAAAGCTAAATAAAGGCCTAATCGATTTTTAGTTATGATTCAGTCAGTTATTGACGTCAATCCAACCAAAGGTTGACAACCTCTACTGCCACAGAACACTGGAATCCCAGACGATCCACTTTCCCCTTCGCTCATGTGTGGAATCTCGTTATACTACTACCGCTAACTGACCTTCGCATTCGCAACTCAGTATATATCTCTGTGACATAATCTTGCCCATCCTACACCGTGGCCACGGCTGTTAAACCTGAACATCAAGACGATAATGCCCATTAAGCGTCGATTGAACCTCATCTCTTCGCAACGCATGTCCGACGATAAAGTCAATAAATAAATAAATATTAACATATGCAAATATGAAACCATGCGACTTCTTCAGTGTTGTTGCCGAGTCGCCTTGTATTGTGCTGCTGTTGTCGTCATCTCCCTTTTGAAAGTCTTGATTGACCAGTCCACTTCAACTCAATCTCTTTCGCTGCACCACTACATACACACACACACCCATCAGTGCATTGATTGTGATCCCCCCGTCAGCGTCATACACGGACGGATCGGATCCATTCCATTCCATATTGAACTCTCGAAGCGTGAACAACCACTTAGAGAGCTCGCATCGCACGGGCTCGGTTACGGTCTGGAATTGTTTTCTAACAGTTAGTTTTGTTTTCTATAATCAACACATTTGTAAGGTTCCACAATGGTGCGCGAAAACGGCAACTGCAAGGAGGGTGAAGATGAGCGAATGCTCAACGGAGGCGGCGGCGATGCCGAGAAGGAGAAGCTGACCCTGAAGGAAGTGGAGGTGAAATTTGTGCCGGAGAAGAATGGCGACGCCCGGATCGATATGGAACTGGACGTTCAGGTGAGTGTTCAATTAGACCCTCGCTTGTAAGAGGTGCTAATGAGGAGGTGCGAATTGGCCCGAGCTACTTATACGTTCTCTGCTGGACCTATTTGGCACGGTTCGCTGAGTAGCAAGGGTTCAGTCTTATTGATGTCATCTTCCGTTCCACTTTACGTAGCAAACCTTCTCCGGAATGACCAAGGAAGAGCTGATGAAGTTCGCCAACGATCCGTTCTGGGTGCGGCTCCGCTGGTTACTGTTCGCATTGTTCTGGGGCCTTTGGGTTGCCATGCTGGTCGGTGCCATCTATATCATCATGGATGCTCCCAAGTGTGCAGCTCCGGTGCCGCTGACCTGGTACCAGGAGGGACCGCTGGTGACCATCGACGAGCGCAACTACAAGACCCACGCGGACACGTTCCAAATGTTCGGTGCCAAGGGTGTAATCTACGAGCTGCCGGCCGATGAAACCTATCTCGTGGACACGGCCTCGGTGGAGAACAAGATCAAGGAGCTGGTCCGAACATTCAAGTAAGTAGTACCTACCGGAAGTGACGGATTATGTCCCATTACCGAGGAATTTCTTGTTGTTGAATTGAGTTCAATTGAATTCAATTACATTCACGCGGACGTCGGGTCCGGCCATCACTTGAGACGCGGAGAATGAAACCGCATTTGTGGTGATTACCTTTTTTCCCCGGGTGAGAAACTGGTTTCCCTTGTTGCAATAAATGCGTCGCGTCGATGTGTTAATATTAAGGGGAACCTTGTCGGACGAGTTGCGGGCAGTTTGCGCGCCAAACAACGGCAGTTAATTGATTCGAGACAAGCTCATTGTCGCTAAGAATGATGCAATACTTGCAACATTTTCACCAGTCTATATATCATTTGACTGTCCCGTATAATTTGAATTACTACCTCGATGATCAAAGATCAGAAGCCTTCAAATCAATAAAGAACTGCACGATGACGTCATCAGACTCTTTTTCGAAGGGATCAACTTGAAAGATAGGAAATTCTCACAACCTTCTTAAAAAAAAGTAGACAACAACAAAACTGTATTGGCCTCGTAGAGTCCAAAGCGTCTCCCCAGACTTCACGGTCACCAATCGCCAACCAACGTTCTAACCTGCCCCGTTTCATTATCTCTCCCCATAACTACCAAACAGTGCCAAAGACATCAAGGTCATCCTCGATCTCACGCCCAACTTCGTCACCAAGGACGACCAACTGTTCAAGGATGCTCTGGAGGGCGCCGATCCCGCTTTGCGGTCCGCCTTTGTCTGGAAGCAGGCCGGATCTGCTCCAACGAACTGGCTCGCCCTGGAAGGTGGTTCCGCCTGGAAGGAAGTCACCTCACAACAATTCGTGCTGGCCCAGTTCGGACCCGATCGTTTCGACCTGCAGCTGAACGACCCGCTGGCAAAGGAAAAGCTGAAGAGCACTCTGCGCCATCTTGCCCAGCTGGGAGTCCGCGGTTTCCGCCTGGTCAACGCCAAGCACTTCATCATCGATCGCGATGGAAAGGATGACGTCAACGCCGAAGTCGATGACAAGAGCCTGGAGCATACGCATTACGGTTTCTGGACGCACTCGCACACCACCTACCAGGATGGGTTGGGAGCCCTGCTGCAGGAACTCGTCTCTGAAGTAAGGAACGCTACGGACGGTGAAGGTTTCCTCTCCGTTAGCGACGACATCGTCCGCCCGGAGGTGTTCACCATTGGTGAGAACAGTCTGGGAATGGACTTGCCATTGTACGGAGACCTCGAGAATGTCATGCGGCAACCGATCGAACCGAATTCCACCATTATAATCCGGAATGACATCACCAAGACGTACGACGAAATCCAAAAGTACAACTCCCCAACCGGCGGTAAGTCGTGGATCCAGTGGCCCTACAATAACGGCTCGCTAGTCAACTTTGAAGCTTCGGTGTACAACATCTTTATGTTCCTGCTTCCGGGCGTTCCGGTTGTTCCACTCGACGTTCTCAACTACGGAAACTCGAGCCACTCAGTGATCGAACACCTGGAGCAGTTCCGTGCTACTCCATCCTACCAGCATGGAACGTTCGGCATTTCCACTGATGCCAACGGAACCTCCATTGCTTACACTCGGTAAGTTCAGCCGAACCCTACAAATTTCCAATTACCTAACCAATCTAACAATTAACCGCTCCCCCCATTTCATCTATCGCTAACCGATTTGCTTTCACTAACCTACTCGCTGCTTGTGCTGACACCTAAAAAAACTAACCTCAAAATCACAGGGAATGGTAAGCATTGTTCATCGTAACCACAAACCATTTTTTTTTTGGCCGCATTTATAAACCGAACCTCTGCTCACTGTCAAAATCTCGTTTTCTCCCGAACAGGCAAAAATCCGGCAATCCGGGCTACTTTGTCGTGCTGAACCTGGTCGACCAGGCCGTCGAGGCGGACTTTAGCGGCGTCGAAGGCATTCCTGAAGAGCTGACGGTCGCCCTCACCAGTGAGAACTACCAGGTGGCGGACATTGCGGCTAAGAGCAAAATACCGTCCAAGGCGGTACCGCTGTCCGCTCGATCGGCCCTCGTTGCCACCTACGTTCCGAAGTAAATGCATTTAATCTCATATCAATAAGTACATGAATTTCCCCTGTTTGTCGTGAAAAGACAATAAATTATCATTATGTAGTAGCTGTTTGTGTGCTTGTGCACACAGAGGCTGAAAACAAGTGGGTGACATTAGAACAAAACTAGCTTCGCATTGAAACGTTAAATGAGAATTAATTGAATATGTGTAGTTCAATAAACGAACCCGATTAATCCAGCATCAGAATAATCGGTGTGTGTTTTGAGGTAGAAAAATGAGAAATTCCTTGCGCGTTGGTTGCATCATACTAGCTGTGCCACAATTTCAAATCTGAACCCGTCGTAATTCCTACACGGCCAACCACAACAACTCAGCGACTGAATTCAATGGGCTCAGAGCATTTTCTTTCCATACGAAATTTACTCATATTTGGGAAAACTTGAGTTACTCATCAGCTATGAGCTCCTGCAGGTTTTCCCAAATATGAGTAAATTTATTGTGAAAAGAAAATGCTCTGAGTCAATTGAATTCAGTCGCTGAGTTGTTCTGGTTGGCCGTGTACTAGAGTCTGTGTATATAAGAGAAACGTCAAAAGAAAAACAGTGGAACTCGCATAACGGTTTTCGAAAAATTCCCTTCCCTTTCACTTGGCAACAGAGGATTTCTGCATCAACTTCAAATGACTTCTAGCGAGAAAACAAATTAGCGGCTGTAGTAAATCATTATGGTCCCAATCAACAAGCATTTTCCTTAGAAAGGTGAAGGCTGACATACGAAGATGGGGAGACCCTCCTGACCACCGAGCTCAGGTTGTCCTGGTAAGACTCAGAATAGGCCATACCATAGTCTCGCATAACTTTCGCGAGCTCTGCCGCACCAACTGTTCAGTGGAACACATAATCTGCCACTGTACTCAATACGAAGGCTGACGACAGCTGTACGGCATACCAAGCAGCATTAGGGACACACTGAGTAACGACCCGACTAGAATCACAGCATTAATGGGCTTCCTCCGCGAGGCCGGCCTCTTCGATCAAATATGAAACCTGCCAAAATCCCGACCACCGCAATACCAATGGACTTTCTCTTATCACCCAACATCTCAATCCAAAGCAAGATCCTCAGCAACTTAACATTCAAAACTCCGAAGAAAGACAGCACATTGACAGCCTCAGTACTTAACTAAAGGAGGCCTCTTATAGACCTCCTAACATGATAAAAAAGGAGAAAAAATAAAATAGATAAATAAACATTGTAACTAGATGAGGTCCCTTCTGGACCCCACACTATCTTTTTAGAGACAAACCAGCCAACAGCTGAAAGCCTCTATAATAAAGAAATCAATCAATAATCCGCGGAGCTCTAGGATCAGTTTCATGAATTGATCATTTTAACGGATGATCCCATGGTCTCCAGGGTCCATATTCCGTTCATAACTTTGAATTCATTCTGATGAGATGTCTATGAGTGGCTTCGAAAAAACCGCGGTGTAATGAATTGACCACTTTTCTGGATTTTCCGGATCTTCTAGTGGACCACCCCATGTTCATGTTCTCCATGTTCCGGTAATAACTCCAAATTCATTCGGATAAGACGTCTATGAGAGGTCTCGAAAAAACCACCGAGGTCTAGGATCAGTTTCATGAATTTACCAGTTATACGGATGTTTCGGATCTTCCGGTGGACCATCCCGTGGTTCGCAGGGTCTATATTCCGGTCACTACTCTGAATTCATTCGGACAAGGCGTCTATGTGTGGTATCGAAAAAAAAGTGGAAACTGCTGGCAATCAACAAGATATTTTGCAACCTGTTCTCAGTAAATGGGTTCTTTAATTTTGAAACATATATAGGTTTTTATACATCATCTGAAAAAGCTTCGTTTTCTGAGCAGAGCGATATTTTTTTTTTAACCCACACACTTTCATCTCGATTTTTAAATCAAGATTTAAAGCAAAATAATCCCAAGCTCCTCCCCTGATCCTATCATTCGAAAATGTACCCTTCTAACCTCGAGTAAGCCGCGAGTAATCGGCCCAACTCCTACTAGACATAGAATTAAGTGAATTTTGTTACACACAGTGAACAATGAATTATCGGCTCCGTAAAGCTAACGCGATTGAGCCTTCCAAATAAACGAACCAGATAAAAAAAAAAGCAAAATAATAATTTAACTGTTTGACACTAAACTGACAGCTCGCTCCCATACAAAGTGACACCGAGGGGCGCTAATAAGGTGATTTTTGCAAATGTAATCGTACTTATTTAAATAGTTCCAGTGTACCAAAGTTGATGAAATTTTGGGTTTGGGTTCCATTTTAAATGCAATAGCACAGCAAATGTAGTAGCACAGCAAACAAGGAGTAGCAATTTCAAATTTGTATGTTTTATGGAAGCTGACATTTGTGCCTTTAAAGTTTCACGCTAAGGCTTCCTTAGAGTAACACCTTAAAGAACCCAATTTGCTAGCAACCTAGAGTTACCTCTATCACAGACAAACAGACGTAACTATTTGAAAAAGTTTTTCTTGAAAACATAGTATCTCAAAACATAGGACCTCAGTAGCGACATCTTTCAGGCTTCTCGCGGAAAACAAGCTTGCTCGTTAACTCGCAAACAATATTGCATAAAAGTTCTATAGAATGTATAGAAACGTCAAAGTGACCCGATGCCAGCGCTGCGGCGAGTATTTCGCGGTACTGATAATATTCAAATCAACCGTTAAATGCGTGAACGAAGATACTCAATGAAGGGTTACGTCTATTTGTCTGTGCCTCTATGTTACTAGTGTGTTTGAAGACGAGCAACTCTCCGCTAATCTCATTACTTCCGCGGCCAGTACTGTTCCTTTGGTCAACCAAATGCTCAGCGTTGTCGAAGCCACTACATATACGATTTCTAGAGCAGCATCTAAACTTAAGACTTAAGGCTGGACCCGATGGTGTTCCGTCGAATATTCTTAAAAATAACATCACTTGTCTTTTAGATCCACTGGGCCGCATATTCCAGCTCTCTCTTTCCAGCGGCATCTTTCCGTCTTGCTGGAAGACTACGGATATGTTTCCTGTTCATAAAAAGGGAAGCAAACGCGACGTAAACAACTACCGGGGAATCACATCGCTGAGTGCTGTATCAAAACTTTTTGAATTGGTTGTCATAGAGTTCCTAAATGCGCATCTATGCGCAATATCTATGTACAGATCAACACGGATTCATAACTGGGCGTTCCACAACTACGAACCTGCTGTACCTAACGTCTTACATCACAGACAGTTTGATTGCTCGGACCCAAACGGACGTTATCTACACAGATCTTACGGCAGCCTTCGATAAGCTGAACCACGAAATTGCGATCGCTAAGCTTGATAGGCTAGGTATCGGTGGAAATCTTTTGATATGGTTTCGTTCATACCTCACGGAGCGCCAACTGACAGTTACTTTGGGTACTTGTCGCTCAGCAAGCTTCTGCGCAAAGTCCGATATACCTCTGGGACCATTGGTATTTATCCTTTACTTCAACGACGTTCACCATGTTATCACAAAGCCACGATTATCGTTTGCAGACGATCTGAAAGTTTTTCTGCGCATCCGCTCACTCGCCGACTGCCGTGCTCTCCAAAATCAGATTGACATCTTTGCTGACTGGTGTAGTCTAAACCGACTGGTGGTCAACCCAGCTAAGTGTACAGTTATTACTTTCTCACGCAAGAAACAACCGATTATTTTCAACTACAAACTACTAGGCACGACTATCGAACGGGTGCACTGCGTGAAAGACTTAGGCGTTTTTCTAGACTCAAAGCTGACATACTCACACCATATATCGTATGTCGTCGACAAAGCGTCCAGAACTCTTGGCTTTGTCTTCAAGCTTACTAAGAACTTCACAGACATTTACTACTTGAAATCGCTCTATTGCTCTCTCGTACGATCTACGTTGGAATACTGCTCTGCAGTCTGGAGCCCGAACTACAATAATGGGGCCGAGCGAATTGAATCTGTGCAACGACGTTTTCTTCGCTTCGCGCTCCGTAAGCTGCCTTGGAGATACCCACTTCGTCTTCCAAGCTACGAGAATCGCTGCCAATTGATCAATGTCGAGCCCTTACGTATCCGAAGAGATGTTTTCAGAGCCTTAACCGTCGCCGATACTCTGCAAGGAAGAATCGACTGCGAAGCAATTCTGCAACAAATGAACATTAATGTTCAACCTCGATCACTACGCAACAGTCTCATGCTGAGACTTCCACTTCTTCGAACTAATTATAGCCTATAGGGAGCGCTATTTAGGGACCCGTATAGAAGGCCGAATCACAAAAGGCCGAAACACAAAAGGCCGAAAGCCAGAAAGGCCGAAAATTTATCAAAAACCTTAGTAGAACAAGTAGTTGAATGTGTGTAGCTATAACGTTCAGCAAAACGGACCAAGAGCAATATCGTTGCTAATGACGATTTTCAATTTGAGAATACCTCCCATCAGGCATAACCTTTTATAACGAAACAAAAGCATTTGTAAACAAACTTTCTAAGGCCCTTTACACGCGAACCAAAGTACGCCCACGCAAACCAATACCACTTTCGGAAAGGTGATAGTTGCCCCTATCCGATAATGTTGTTGGTTTGCGTAGGCATACTTTGGAACGCGTGTAAAGGGCCTTAGAAAGTTTGTTTACAAATGCTTTTGTGCCGTTATCAAATGTTATGCCTGCCATATAGATCAGTGCACGGTCCCTAACCTCACTTTTTGCTCCCTATCATTTTGCTTCTGAGTAAAAGAGATAGCAACGAATGGGAGCCAAAACAAACCACCCAAAACTGTCAAAACTTACGGGTGAGAGAAGAGTGTGGCAAATCTTCGTGAACTGATCAATTGAATGTTATCTTGAACGAAGCCATCATCGTCATTGAATACTCAAAGATCTGGAAAAATAAAGCTAACTATCACTTTCTCTCTCATTCAGCATCTGAAGCCTTTCTGCTCTTACAACTGAGTCACCCCGTTGAATTGTCCGCATTCACAAAAAAAAAACGAACCCATCTTGTCATTAAATCGTCGTTAGACACTCAAACAAACATTAAACTAAAACTACCCAAATTTAAAGTTTTTTTTTTAATTTTCATTACGGAAATCGAATGGCTATTAAGTAGCTTCCATTATATTTTATTTCGAAGATGCAGAATAATAATTATTGTAACTTTACTTTAATAATGTAATTTAATTTATTAAAAACAAATTA